TTAAATCACATTGTGTCTTCTTTAATTTTAAGTTTTACGAAAAATCCGGAAAGTGACTCCGTAATGTGAACTATTTTATGGATTTTATTATCACAGTTCCTTCTCATATTATATTATTTCGAACACTAAGGTGTGATAACACATGTACAATGCTACTGGAATTATCAAAGATGGTATTCGGTAAAAGTGAATATTTAAATCAAGTGAATCGCTTGTTTTATTAAATTAATTATTAAATTATTCCTCACAATTAATATCTTGAAGATATTAATCAGATAATTTAAGATGAATAATGAATAATATAATGATAATAAACAGAAAACAATTCTGACGCGATCTGACGCGTAAATCCGGTCCAGAATGCTAAACAAAGTCTCAGCCACGTCAGATTAAGTTATTAAATGACCAAATTAAATCTGCAAAAGGTAGCAACTTTATGCTTTATTTTTTTATCCTAATGTTGTTTCCAAAACCATATAATGTGTTTATTTTTTTCTTCATATACATTACAATGTGGGAACATTAACACCATTTTAGTGTCAAGTGTCCACAAGCCTACGATAATGACGTTAGTGCATTTAATATTTTTATAAAACAAACTATTTTTCATCATTTAAATTAGGGAACAGGTGACGTTATGTTCCAATCAATGAATATAAAAATATAGATGAATTGAGGATCTCCTCCTTTAAAAAAAATCGTGTTAAATTGATCCGTTTGCTATGTATAGCGCGATCCTGACACAAAAACCTGACGTCTGACGGATTACCTCGCGCATGTCACGGAATTCACACATTTTTGCTGCGAGATTTGTCGAAATCGAGAGGTCTTGCGACGTATAACATAAATCGGAACGTTTAAAAGGTTCATAAAGCACTTTATTCGGTTCCCGCTCTTTTAAAACTCGTTAATGTTTTGTTTATTTGTATTCAATGTACGAATCCATCATGCGGTGATCAATAAAATGTTATCTCAAGGAAGGCATACGACAATGGAACTGGCATAATGTTTTGTGTTAATTTTTTTTATCGTGTACATGTTACATACACGACGCAAATAAGTAGCGACAATCTCGACGTTAAGTTGCTCCGCCTGAACCACTTCTAAGTCACCAACTTACACACTTGCTATTATCCTTAAAAATTTGAGTTAATTTATAGATTCTTTCAACCATTATAGGGTTTCTCATTACTTACTTCCCTCAGATACAATCGAGTAGGCTTAATCATCTATATTTTTTTGTCATGAAAATTCTATGAACCCAGCGTCAAGATCACACTTAGGTCGTTCAACCCATTTCATTTTCCTTGAACACTCATCTCATAGCGTAGCAATATGGTATTTAAATTAGCAGTTGACATATTTCTCTAGAATCCTTTATTACCTTTAAATGGCTTTATGATGAATACCTTTGATGTCGGAAACACTTTAAAAATAAACCATATCGTTCCTTTTTACAGATTATAAATACATTTCTATTTATTTAAATTATACTGTGTGATCTGACTCATTGAAGGGCCAAAAGTTTTGTCCAAGAATTTTTTTATTGATTTTTGTGATTTTTTTTGTAAATGTTTGACTTTACGTACATGTTTGACATCTTTTTACAGATTAGATCTTCCGGATTGTTACAACACAATCAGTGTTTTAGCATTGATTTACGATATTGTAATTTATTAGTTGAGCAAAATTTATTTTGGGTAGAATTTGAGTTTGGGGTTACAGTTTTAAATTTAGAATTAAAAAAGCCTACATAACAACTAGCTCAATATTGACTTTGACTTAGCAAGGTTTAAAAATATAATTAACACGGAATCTCATTCAACACAATGCTTTAGTAAACGTAAAAAAAAAGTATAAGGAAACGTAATTCGTTTTGTATCATCGTTACAACGATTATGTAAAGGACGTATTAATTTTTGTCCCGAGATGAATCATCTTGTTCGGTAGACGGTGAAGAATAAATTAAAAAAATACAATTTACATACATATTCAGCAGTGCGACAAAATCATATAAAAATTAAAATCGGTACATACAAATAGTTTAGTAAACAGAGAACATTGTAGGACACTAGTTCAATGAATTTATTTGAAAATATGTCGGTGACGCGTAGGTTAGGTTGCTGACCCCTAACAGATCCTTTTTCTTCATTCTCTTTGTTCCATGTTATCTTAAGAAAAGTCTATGTCCTCTAAACACGACCTAAGATGTATTGATCTCATTTTTTATGAATCGTTACTAATTTATTATCATATTTTAACAAAATATGAAACATAACGGAAAAAGAAATGTACCTATTCATATGTACAATAATAAATTATACTTCATTGTCATCTTTATTTAAGTGCGAATTTGGTTACGATGACTAATAGTAAACACCAAAATGTAATCATCTGTAATAATATAAAAAAAATATTAACAATACATCATCTATTTGTAGCAGACAGTAACATATACATAAATTTTATATAATTTATAGTTAACGTTAATCAGAAAGCGTCGGTGGTTCAGTGGTTAACAACTTGACTTGTAATCTGCAGGTCTTGGGTTCGAATCCTGTCATATACCAATTTGTTTTTCGACTTACGTATGTACTTTTATCCGACGTTCTAACGGTGAAGAAAAACATCGTAATGTGACCTGAAGAAATTCAAAGATATGTGTGAAGTCAACCATCCTGCACTGGACCAGCATGGTTGACTAACTTAGGTTAGGCTCCGAGCTCCTCATTGGGGACGATACAAGATTATTTATTACAATTAATATAATTGCAATTTCTGATAATATATCACAATTTATTTGTTCTAACTCATGATTCGCGATATAAACTAAACTTTTATTAAAATACAATGGAAGAAAACCGCGGGTAAAACCTAGTATCAATTTTCGAAGTGTCTTGTTACAATGTTGATAGAGAAAAATTACAAACAGTGACAATTAAACAAGTTTCTGGTTTGTGCGAATACTTTGTTTGGTTTTGTTTGAGACTGTCATGGCGATATAACGGCGTTTTTTTTCTTCCTTATATAACATCCACATATTCCACAGATAATAAATTTAAAACTGCCAGTTATTTCACGCCTTAAATTCTATCACACGTTGTAACCTATATCAATTAATCTTTCTATGCTGTTGTTAGTTATTAATCATCCTTAAACGTTTGTTAATGCTAATTTTCATTCGGATATGGCTATTAAATAGCCTATTTGTTTTCCGTTAATATAACGGATTAAATTTATCTATAAAGATGATGTATAATTAATACATTAAATGCATCTTAATTATATTATAACTTTTATTGTAGTAACATTTAGATTAAAAACATATGTTTTTCAATAATAGGTTCGCAATTAGTATGGAAATATATTATAACGTAATCTTACGAGTACTAATATAATAAATGCAAATATTCGGATGGATGGATGTTTGTTACAAGGTACCTTAAGAACGGCTGTATGAATCTATTTGAAATTTGGCATAGAAGTAGAACATAGTCCGGAAGAACACATGCGCTATTTATTAAGTTTATTTTAATTCCGTGCGGACGGAGTCACCGGCAACAGCTAGTAAACTATGTCGATTTATGATTAATGTGGAACAAAATACAAGATGAAATATAAAAAGACAATAGAAGATATTTTATTATTCAAATAATATCTTGAGAAGCAACAAAGCGTTCCCATCAACTTCACCGGTCGAGCCACTTGAAGCAGACAAGAATTTAATTTACAATAAACAATCTTTGTCGGCATTTATAGCATTTATAGGCAGAGGAATAAAGAAGTAATATATAATAGTTTTAAGTTATTGAGTACACTGGCATAACAGAGCTAAGAAAGAATAACAACGATTTTAAAAATAAAAGTATTTATTTTGATAAATAACATACTTTCAAAATGCAAGTCGTTCGTCGGCTCGTTAGCGAAATTCAAACCCGACTCCCACAGGGTCTTATAAATTATTATACGAAGTATAAATCTCAATGCATGAAGTGAAATTTATTATCCGTTAGAGAATGGTATAAGTAAATTAGAAAAATGTACATCGAGTTTGTGCCTTGACAAAGCTTCATACAAAAGTATTTTTACGAAGAATTTATTGGGATTAGTATTTTGTACAGACAGCAAAACATATATTTTCCTTCATCATTCGTTTTAATGAGATATGTTGTCACAGGAAAGTTGTATTTATTGAAATAAAACGATGAAGAATGAACACAATAATTATGATTAGTATAATAGTCCTGTTCAACGTATGTTCGTATTCATTTCATTCGTATTCTATTTACTTCTATGTTTCTTAATAAAAAAGCTTTTAAGCTTAATATAAGATTATTTATTTCAAAGTTAAAATTAATTTCAAAGTTTTCTCATCTTACTAAAATTTGGGCTAATCATGTTTGATTTCGCTTACCATGAAATGTTACGTTCGATGACAAATAAAAAGAAGATATTTAAAATTTCCCACATTTCGGCTAATCGTTTACTACTTGCAAAAGCATCCTTTTAAAATTTAAGCGTTTTGGAGACAATGAAATTGATGTAACCTACTTGCACATTAAGTCCGTTTTAAGTCACGAAATGCAATTTTGTACGCTTATGCGTTTATGTTACACTTATCGATGCGTCTTACTTTTCCCTAAATGATATCAAGATTTATAAACTCGCGATACCTCAGATTCATTTCTTTCGATTTCAAAACAAGCTTGTTAAGAACTGTAAATTGATAACGATATGCGGCTTAAGACGTTTAAGTTTATGTATTACGATTAATTGTTGTAATGGTTTATAACCAAAAATGAATATGCACATCTTAAAATTTAAAATATTTAAGTCGTTATTATAGTATTACATATTTATACATTTTTTTTGCTCTGTTTTATTTGTACTTTTTGTTCGCATCGCTATTACGGTAAGTCCTGCATCTGTTACATAGTCGTGCGTTGAGTATAAGAAGCGAAGGATTCTCGGCGCGCGTCCAATCCATACATAGAGCCGGTGAGACCTTGCCCGCGTTGCAAGGACGTATCGCAGCCCCTACACGAAAACCTCCCGCCATTTCCTAACGAACGCGAGCGCGGGAAAGTTCATCTTAAACACAGTATATAAACAAAATTTTAAGTAATAAATCGCGATATTACGAAAGAGGTTTTAATGTTCACACTGAAACAAAACACTGTAGATAAGACAGAAACCTAATAATTGTGAGCGTGGACTTTTTTCTGTATATCAGGTGAGTATTCTCTCACATTTGTCTACTAAATCAAAGCTATGACTTATCCTTAATTTGTGCATTTTATAATCATTCTAGAATATTATATTTCGTAAAACGTACGCCTAATATTCTTGTACCAATACAAATTTTAAGTCATTTAAAAATCTAAGGTAAATTACTTTTAAACTTTTACATTTAAACTGACAGGAAAATTAAATAAATATAAAAAGTTTTTATTAAATTTTAGCTAAATTTTTACAAAATTTTAGGATTTTTAAAAATTGTATAGTGTAACTATGTTTTCATGAAAATATTATGAAATGTTAATAACTAGTGCATTTAACAAAAACTAAGTGATTTTTTAAAGATGATTCTAAGATGAATAAATAATTGAAGAGAAAAAGATTACTTACATCTGCGTAGTTTTTTCAAAGCTGACCCTATTATTATGTCTCCAAACTTTATTTATGGGTGGTTAAGAACGTAAACACGAGCGTATGAATTCCTATATTTCGTATAAAGTAGTAAACCGTATTTATAAGTATAAATTCAATTATATAAATATTTCACGATAGTTAACTTTGTCAAAACAAGTGCGAATCCGTTATCCGTAATGGAAATATTATTATATTACGTAGCAATAGTGGATACTTAATAAAGATTTATTAAGTCAAAGATATCCGAATTATCCGATAACGGTTTCGTGATTTTCCAAGCACAGTATCAAATCATCATAATTTTGCAATTTATTTGAATTAATTTTTTCAAATACTAGCGCCTTAATGTTTGCTGAGTAAACATTACTTACGGTAAATCTTACTTATCTCATTTGATATTGAGTTACGTTTATGATTTCATTTGAACACGAAATATTCGCATTCTTTGTGAATTTAACGGAACCATAGATATTGCTATTTCTCACAGATAATATAAAAACAAATCAACTGTGTATTTGTTCTGTCTATTTAATAGAATATACGCTATAAATGGTAGATATAATGATTAACGTAAATAAAAACATCTAAAATAAGGATAAACATATTATGACGAAAAGGGGTGGACTGATGTTAACGTTTGTACTTTTGTTGATTTCTTGATACCAAACTTCCTTCCTTCTTCCATGTTATATACTGATTCACGTTATTTTTTTAAGTTTCTTTCATATTTTATCCTTCTTTTGTTTGTTCAACCAACATTTGGAATTTCAAACACATTTTTCCGATGAAATATAATAAAAAAAATTTAATTTTCCTCAATATATAAATTGTTCTGGTCGTTGTCTGCTAAAACGCTGTGAACTTTGAAAATTTCGAAAAAATCACGTGTTTATAAAAGAAAATTTTAAAATAATCTAAAACTACGATATACTTCGATACAATTAGTAAGATGATGTGTAAACATATCAATTGATATTCATAAATGCACATTAATTACAATTAATTGTGAATCAATTAAAACTAATGCCTTATGTAAGTTTATGAATGACTCAGAACTGATAGAATATAATATACACTCAGTCTTAATACATATAGGTTTAAAACGATATTTAAATTTTAAATATAATATTATATATTTATAAAGGACCTAGTACAATTAAAGTAACACCGTTGGAAAGAAATCTGAAGTGCATTCCATAACGATACTTTTGTATTGAAATTAGAAATTGCAACCTTATTTAATGTACCTTTTTATTTACTGAATCAGGTCTAAATATTAAATCTGTTATAGACAAAAATGTTAGCATTTTCATAAAAAATCTTCTCAGCAGTGGAAGTCATTATAAAAATAATCATAATATCCAACTAGTATGTTGATAGGAAAAAATATATATAAAAAAAACATGTTACAAGACGATGAGAGATGAATAAAAACAGGTTATATACTCTAGTTACTCGTATTCATAATTATAGGTTATGAGAAAAAAGCCTGTAATAATTGGCTCTGTTTTTATTTAAGACAAATCATTGTTAGCGGCAGCTTCTACGTCAATAATATGAGGTAATTACTATGTAATCTTGTAATGACGTCCATTAAATATAGATCCATCAGTATTAAATCTGTACGACTTTTATATGGATCAATTTCTCGTTCTTTGTTTTTAATGTTTTAATTTAGTAAGACTTTTTACTTGTGTACTTTTTTACGAATTCGTAAATGGAAGATTAACTAAAGTCTATTTACTTTTGTTATATAATGTTTATTGAATACTGCTATTATTTTAAATTTTTTAAGTGCACCTATATGTATTAAGTCAACCAACCGGCACTAGGCCAGTGTGGTTGACTATGGCCTAGTCACCCCTAACTTAGGGTCCGAGTCCCTCAGTGGGGACGTATAGTAAACTGATGATTATAATGAAGCGCACGCACAGTCTCTCTTAATAGAGTTACCCAAAATCAAAAGCGTTACACTATTTATTCCGTACTTCTAAATATAGGTTTTTTATAAGTTGAACCTAATATACAGGTTGCAGGAATTTTAATAATTAAAACAAAACATTACAGTATACTTTACTTGTATTACTATGAAAATATGAAAAACTTTTATATTATAGTGTTCTTAAACAAATATTACAGCATACCTTTTTGTATAATGTAATCAAATTGATCTAGCCCATTGTACTCGATTTGTACTCGTTATTACAGAACTTCATTGTTTTCAAAATACATCTATTACGCGGCCGTGAGCGCAAGGCTTAGTGGTCATGGTTAAACAATAATTGGGTACTGGGTTCAATCCATAATGCTCAGGCATAACCACTTTTAGTGTAGTCTCATTGTAAAAAGTTTATGTACTTAACTATGCTATTGAAAAGACTTCAACGCTCATTCACTTGTTATAGGAGAACTGTTTTTAGGCAGATATTTTTTTTTATGTAAACTTATATATTTCTATGTAAACTTTTTTTTACAACAATTAACGACATATTTGAAATTAACTTTCAATATAATCTTATAGTACTGTATATGCTTTAAGCATACGAAAATGAGACCGGTGTAGTAGTCGTTAAAATAATTAGACCTGACTCTATTTTATAGTACTCAGAACATCAGAACTATGCGTTGCACAGTGATTTATTATATATGTAAGATTTCTTGTGAGCAATTTTCACAAAATGCTATCATTAAATTAAGAGTTTAAGCTTTCAAATAAAAAAATCAACACTCAACCATAATTATCTCTGGGCTTATTAAAAAAAGTAAAGTATCGCTGTGTCGCAGCCACCGTCCTTGGGCTACGGGTATGTTATTTTTATCAGCAGGTGTCTAGACTCAGCAATGTTATTATTGTGGTCATTCTTGATTACAGAGTGTACTATTTTCCTATAAAACGAACCTCAGAAATGCAGTACACCATAATAAACCACGAGAATTATTGCGTATAAACTTGTGGGTGATAATAATTTGTTCAATTGTGTCTTTTTTCTTTGATCCTCGTTCGTACATCTATAATAAGAAAATATTACACAAAATAGTCCTTATTCTTGAGAATTTTGAAATGGTTACGTGATTTTAAAAGTCGAGTACTTAAGAAAAACAATGTATCGATTTAAACTAGTGACCTTAATGTTACTTTCATGTGCAATTATTTTAAAACATGTTGTGTTAAAAATTATCAACACAGGTTCATAATTTCATAGAGATGTCAGTTCTTTTTCTTTATTGCCAGTAATAAGTCAAATCAATTTATGGGTTACCCTTAGTTATTATCCTTAATGTGTTGCCTCGTTTTGTATTTTAACGCACATCTCTAATAATAACAATTTGCAACTGACTGCGAGTTTAAAATTACCAAGCCGGTACATCCAGTCGCAAACCATAGACATTCTGGTTTGTTTGCAACTTTTATATTTTTTATTTCTGAATGTTTTATTTATTATATAGCGCCTTGTATGGAACTGTACCGAACATGCGATCGACTTATAGAAGAAAATTTTATTCTTTTTTTTTTTTAAATTTTACAATTGACAGTTACAATGACACATAAATTTATTAAGCTAACGCGTACCATCTTTTGACCACATCATCACTTAACATCAGGTGGGAGTGTGGTCATCTTCTAGCTCATCTTCATATATACAAAAGAAAGTCGTGTTAGTTACACTATTTATAACACAAGAACGGCTCTACCGATATGGCCGAAAATTGGTGAGGAAGCAGCTTAGAGCTAGGAGACGGACATAGGATACTATTTATGTATTTTTTTTCGAATTTATTCATCGAAGAGTTGCTCTTTATTTAACTTAATAATATTATAAATGCGAATGATTAGATGGATGTGATATGGATTAGATTTGGCATACGTAGAGAACATTGTCTAAAAGAACATATAGGCTACACTAATTAAGTTTTTTTATATATCCACGCGTACGGAGTCGTGGGCGACAGCTAATTTAATGTAAAAAATAACCTTAAATTCTTAGAAAAAATGTTATTGTCGGTACTAAGAAAACGGTATGCCATTAACAATATCTATGTTCGAACGGTAAACTATCACTTCGGCTCACGAATATATTACAGAATCCTTTAATAATTGTTTTGATAACCCTAAGCGGAATATGGTTAAAGTTTATCATTTTAATGATGGCGATTAATTGATCGTGTTTTATACCTTTTTTATGATACAAAAATATGATGAAAGTTAATTAACCACTTGTATAGATTTATTTTTACTGTTAACTAGCAAAACAATTTACGAAAATATTTTTTTTTCCATATATTTTAACTAGTGTACCTACGAGTTTTCATAGATTGTGTTTTGATAAAAAGAGAAAAAGTTTTAATTCACAGGGATAAAAAGTACGAATTTTTAACCATAAATATCTAAAAGCGTTTTTTTTTTCTCGTTTAACCGATAACTTAATCCAGATGGCGTTTAGTTACCGCTATTCATAACAGTCGTAATTTCTAAAATGTTTTATGCATAGATAATAAATCACATTAAATTTGTCCAAAAGCAAGAAAAAAACATGTTGAACTAATTAAAAAGGACATCGATTCAATTTCGTTATGTGAATC